GAGGGAGCCGCCGAGGACAGCAGCAGTGCCCGGTGCGGGACAGGGCACGGAGAGTGAGGCAACAGGCAGGCTCTGATGTCTCGGCTACGTGGCTTTAAGGAGGTTTTCAGGCTGGGCGGTCCTGAGCCAGCACGGGGAGCTGGGAGGTGCTGGAGGCTGTGACAAGGCCAGGTCACCATCCCATGGGAGCTGCTGTCCCCGCCAGTGACCCCAGCACTGGCTTCACAGTGGGCTGACTTAAACTTTTGTCAGTCCCTTCACTGCAGTTGGTATTGAATGGATTAATTAATTACCTACGTCTCATTAATGCAAACAACTCAGACCACATCATGCATCACCTCTGCTAGTGGTAACTGTAATTCTTGAACAGTTTTTTTCTTTTTAATTACAACCTTGCAGTGCTGGGGCTCTGCCTGCTCCCTGGCAGCCTGCACCCTCCAAAAACCACTGGGCAGCAACGCTGCCTGGCTGCTGTTGATTTAAAGTCACCTACAGCAGGCACACGGGCCTGGGGGGCTGCTGGGCTGATCCACGTGGCCTCTCCAGGGAGGGAGCCTGTTCCACTGATCCTCTCCAGAACAGAGGATGGGACAAACAGGACCTTTAACTGCTCAGGGCTTTGCACCAAGGTAAACTTTATTTCAGGGTTACAGGGAACAGCAAAAGTCTCTGGGTGTGCAGCCACCCATCCCATGCCAGGACAGTGCCCATGGAGGGGCCCAGGGGGTGGCACTGGAGCACCCCATGTGTCCTGAGCCCTGCAGTGAGCTGCACCAGGGACATGTTTAACCAGGTCTGCCTCTGTGTTGCAGCTGTTTTTTTTTTCTCCCCAGCATGCCAGAAAGGAGCAGAACCATCAAAATTCCTTGGTTTGACTTCTTGGGTAGAAATTCTCCCTCCCCATCAGCCCATTCCACACAAGGATGGAGAACAATCACAAACCAAGCACTCCTGGCACCCTGGATCCTGAGTCAGCACAACCTGTCCCACATATCACCACTGCTCAGTGCCAAGCCTGACCCCACAGAGCTTCACTGAGGGGCCACAATGCTTCCTCCAGGCAGGAAAACAGACATGGACACCCAGAGCAGGGTCAGGAACACCCTCCCACTGCTTTGGTCACCAGCACACTCTGCTTCACCTGGAGATCACAGCCTGGATTCAAAGAAGAGGTTCCAGGCTCCATTTCTGGTCAGAAGTAGGATGGTGCTGCTGTTTCTCCTGCCAAAATCTTCCCAGCAGCATCTACACAGCTCAGCAAGGCCATCACATCAGGAAATGTTCCAGAGAGCTCCTGGAGACTGAGTGCTGGCCCTACAGAGATGCTAATCCCACCCCCAGCTGGTTCCTCTCTGCCTCAGGATTAATGAGCCAAAATTGGCATGTTAAACTGGGGGGCTGAGCAAACACACACCCCAAAGAGACACCCTGAAATGACCTGCCAGCTCCAACCCAATGCTCTGAGGTGCTTCCAGAAGGGCCAGCATAGTCCCCAGCACCCCACCCTGGGACCATGCCCTGCCCTGGCCCCAATCATGAACACCACAGCAGCTCCTGTGCCAGCTGCCCCAGCTCAAGTCCTTCTACCCCAGGGAGGAAGATGCCATGGGATGCTGCAGGGTGAGGCTGCTGCTGTCCCTCGTGCCCCTGATCCTGTCCCAGCACTCAGTGCCACATTCCATGCCCCAGCCCTTTGCTAAACATTCCCCTGTGCTGCAGTGTCAGCAGGGAGATCATGGGACAGCCCTCCGTGTTTCCAGGGAGGAGAAACAAACGCAGCAAACTCCCCAGGGAGAGCAAAGCTTCAGAGCAGCGAGGTGTGGAGGTGGCACATGTGCCCCATCACCTCTTGGCATCATCCCCAGGGCAGATCCAAAGCCTTCCTTCCCACAGTTATGGCAACCAGCACTCTGGAGAATCCCCAGCCCCACTCTCTCCCAGCACCCATTTTTCTGAATTTCAAACTTCCAAGCAATTACTTGGCCAAGCAAGTCCTAAAAATCAGAGCCAGCCCCAGGAGCACCCCTGTGGCAAATAAGCCATGGATGTGAGATGCCCATAACTACCCCAACTCCTCCTCCCCACTGTTTCCAGTTCTTCCCCCATGACAATACAGCACAGGGGCCTCACCAGGAAAACCCCTCCTGACCCCAGAGCCCTTCCCAGGGCAGCTGGAAGGATGTTTATCAGCCCTCCCCCTGCCATGGAGAGTCTCTGGATTCCAAGCAATGAAAATAAGGGAAAAAAAAACAAGGGAAAAATAAGGCAAGGGAGAGTGACTCTCCCTGAAATAACAATGTAATATAAATACAGCCCAACTCCTCCTGTAAATACCAAGAGAGTAGTTTGGCACATTCAAAAAAAATCTTGGCAGGACACAGGGAGAGGTATCTGCATGTCCTCACGCCTGGGCAGCAGTGACACCCAGGAGCCTGAGGCCAAGCTGAGCAGCCCGGGGTGAAATGTGGCACAGGGAGCCAGTGCTGATGCTCACATTAAAACGCATCAGCTCCCAGCTCTGCCACTCTGGGGAGCCTCAGCCCAGCTCACTGCCCTCTGAGGAGGTGCCAGCTCCCCCAGTTTTGTTACCTGCAGCAATGCCACCTGCAAACCACCCTAAAACCTCCAAACCCCAGCAATGACCGCAGCCAGGAGCAGCAAGGAGTGAACAGACACTGGCTGTGCCAAACACTCTGGTTTAGCACTCAGAGCACCATAAGGAGAGCTGGAGTCACACCTGGCAGCATGCAGGGAGCAGAAAGCGTCAAAGTAATGTTAAGGTGCTCTTTTTAAAGTTCAGCCTTCTCCAAGCAGGAGAAGGAGCAGGGAATGCCCCAGTTCAGGCATTTTTCAGTTCAGGCACTTTAAGGCCACCCCCTCTCCCTGGGGCAGGGTGTTTGGAAGCCACTCCTGAAGAGCCACAGAGGTGGCAGGTACAAGGCAGGGCCAGCACCTCCACAGGGCAGTGACAGCCTGACCATGGCACAGTGGTAGCCCCACCACCCCCATGGCAGAGCTGCACTGTGCCAGCAAACCCAAAACCAGGGAGGGGTGGAAATGTACCACGTTTATCAGTGACATCAGTGATCAGATGAGCAGCAGAGATCCCTTCAGCTCTGGCTGGACCCCAACAACATCAGATACAAACTCATCCCAGAGCTCCAGAGTGCTGCAGTGGGAGCCAGCACAGTCTCAGTCTCCTCCCAAAGGTACCTGCTGGGAGTTTGAATTAATTAAGAAGCCCAGCAGGTCATACATGAGCTCAGCAAGATACAGCAAAGGCTCTGCCTGAAACTGCCTCCCAGGAGGGGGACCTGGATCCCAGGGGATGGAGGAGGAGGAGGGGTCCAGGGAGAGAAATTGTTCTCTCCAGAAAGGGCAGCTCCTCTCCACCTCTGGCAGGAGCTCTGGCAGAAGGGAAACCCACACCAAAGGATGAACAGAATATAATGGAGGGAGGGTGGTCCAAGAGCAGCAGCTCCAGGCAGGAATTTCACAGACTCACAAAGAAAGAAGCTCTTGTATTTTCCTTTGGTCAGAAAAAAACAACAAAACCACCCCACCACCAACCCTATCTGCTCCCAGCAGCTGTGCAGAGCAGCACATTCCTCCAGCTGAACCGTGGTCCTCAGGCTCCCAGGAGAGGAGGAAGCCACAGCAGAAAGGGCTGAGCAAAGCTAAAAATGAAAATCTGGAGCTGAGACAATCTGGGGAAGGCACAGGAAAGCTGGAGCCACGGTGGTTACTGACAGCACAGCACACAGAACTGCTTTGTTCAGGGACAGCCCCAAGCACTGCCCCCAAATCAAACCTCACTCTGGCACCTGGGAAGGGTCTCTGGTGCCAGGACCCCCTGTTAAACAGGGTGACCCCAGGGACTGGTTGGAAGTGAGGGGAGGGGAAGGCTCCTTTCCTGAGGGACAGATCTGGGATGCCCATCCCAGCCTGGCCAAGCTGGCAGAGGTGGGCAAACATGGACAGATGTGAGGTGAAGGGCAGCCAGAGAAGAATGGGGTCTCTCCCTCAGGACTGCCATGCTCCCAACCCATCAACCCTCATCCAGCCCTCAAGTAGGGCTTGAGGGGCTCCTACAGTGTGCAGCCCCCTCAGGGCTGGGAGACTGCAGGGACCATCTGCCTGGTACTGAGAGGGAGCCCATTCCCAGGGAACAGCCTGCTCCAGGGTGATAAAGGCTGCATCCCTGGGATGTCTGCAGCCTCAGCTTCCAGGGACCCCCTCCGTGGGCAGCATCCCCTGGATGGGTAATTCCTGAGCAGGCTCTGCACACCCCAAGGTGCTCAGCAGGAGTGGGCCCTCCCCACTGGCATAAACCTACACCAGCCAGGGATGTGGGTTTAAATTAAAACCACGAGAAAAGCAGAAAATGTTTTCTCTTGCCCCAGGAACTGCAGACATGGGGGTGATGCTGTGCAATGAAAGAATCCCAAATCCCAGAAACTTGTCCCACACCTCCCACTGCTGCCTGCCTGAGGTCCCACAGAGGGAGACAGAGCCTCTGGGCATGGAGCACTGGCACACACTCAGGAAGGAGACAGGGAAATCCCAGCAGTTACCTCCAGCTCTCCGGATGAGCACACAAATTATTCTGCATATGTTGTTTTCCATTTGAAAGAGTATGCAAATGCAGCTGCAGATGATATGCCACCCCTGTGTCATCCCAGAACAGGAAGGAGAACCCTTCTGCCCCATCACATCCTTGTCTCCTACCTTCCAGGATCACTTCCTTGCCCGTCTTCTTCAAGGCCTGCACGGCCTCGTCGTGGGTGGCCTCGGACAGGTCGGTGCCATTGACGGCCAGGATGGCGTCCCCCACGAACAGCGCCTCCGTCTGGTCTGCTGCCAGCCCCTTGAAGATCTTGGAGATCAAGATGGGCATTTTATTCTCTCGGCCACCTTGAAACACAAGAGACAGGGAGCGGTTGTGGCTGTAGGAGTGCTTGGAGGAGGGGGTGGGGAGGGGGATGCTCTGGTAGCAGATGGTCCCAGCAAGGCTGAGCCTTTCTGCTGGCACTCAGTGCACTGTGCCAGGCCAGCCCACTGCCCACTCCCCCAGATACCCACAGGACACCTGTACCAACCATAGCAGCCAAAGTACCAGGAGGCTGTACAGCTGATGAAGTGATTGCTCCAAAACCACTCAGATTGGTCACAGATTATTCACAGAGAGAACACATAACCTGGCCATCTCCCCATCAGTTTTGGCAGGGAAGTGTATCGTTATTTGCATTATTAATCATGTATGCTGAGCAACTATCCTGGCTCCAAGGACTTCATGATCTCAACACATAGGACAGCTGAATGTTTTTGGAGAGGCCAAAGAGGCAGGGAGAGGTGAACCAATCTGCCTGCATGTTCCTGTCCACACAGCAGCCCTATTTACCGGCTGCTCCCCGCTGTCCTGACTAAAAGAATGCTATTCAAACTGCCGGCGGCTTCAGGAGATCAATTTGCACATCGACTCTTGAACCCGCAGGGAGATCCGAGCTGCCTCCGTGCCAGGGCTCAGGGATGCAGCAGCCACTGCCCGCGGCAGCCGGGGATCAGCAGTGCCCGCTGTGCCCCGGGACAGCCTGTCCCGAGGAGTCTCCAAGAGATAATCCTCATCCCAGAGGGAGATGCTGAGCGCAGCCCGCTGTCACTGCCCGCCCCGGGCTGCTCCCAGCCGGTGCCACAGGCATTTCCTCGCTCAGCCGCTGCCAAGCCAACGAGGGCTCCGGTTATCAGCTGTCAGAGGCCCCGGCGGGGGCTGCTCCTCGCCCGGCTGCCAGGGCTGAGAGCCCTGCCAGAGCTAAGAACCTCCTCCAGCCCGGCTCTCGCTCAGCTCCCCGCTGTCCTGCCAGCCCCAAGCCACGTCCTGTGGCAGGGCAGGACACACACCCCCCGGGTGGCACCGTGTCCCTGCGTGAAACACGGCTGGCCCATGAACGGTGACATGAGGAGTGATGCCCTGCCCTACCAAGGCTGCCCCACCCTCCACAGCACCTTCCACTGCCCAGTTTTGATGGCAACTACTTCTTTTCCACATACGTCACTGGAAAAGTAAAGTTTTAACTGAACCAAGGGACGTTTCTCCTTTCCTGGGAGAGCCACAGAGCAAGCAATAACTTGGCAGCCAAGGGGCGGTTACGAAAGGGGGTTTGCGCTTCCCAAAAAAAAGGGCTGGCACGCTGGGGCACCCTGCAGACACGGCCAGCAGTGTCGATCCAGTTCCAGCGCCCGCTCATTCACATTGCAAAACCTCCCCGCTTCCAGAGGGAGCCGGAGGCTGCGTCCGTGTCCCCTCTGAGCTGGAAGGAGAAGCCACGTCAGGAGGCGAGAGCTGCCCTGTCAGTGCCCCCAGGGCGGCCGAGCCGCTGCCTCTCACAGCCACGCTCCGTGACAGCCCTGTCCCTGTGTCCCCGCTGCCCTTTTCATCCTGCTTTCACAGCTCCCAACACGCTCGGAGCCGCGTGAAAATCAAAGGCAGGCAAAAAGGCAGCAACGCCATCACTGCCCTAAGAAGTTTCCAGCCTGAAGTTCAGGCGAGTCACCAAGGAGCGGGACGGCTCGGGAGGGAAAACAGACATTGAACAGGGAGGCTTCCCGGGAGCACACATCTCCAAACGCGAGCGCGCTGCTTTAACACCGCACCCAGCGCCGGCAGATCTCCAGGGGCTCCCTTCGTTCTGCTGACAGTTTTAAAGGGGCACTTCCCAGCTAAGGAACACGGTGGGACAAGGACACGCCGGCCCAAAGGGCAACTTTGGTGTAACCGGGTGCCCCGTGAGACAGCACCCTACCCGTGGGTGCGGGGGACAGGGGGTGCCCCTCCGGCTCACAAACCCGGGGGTCCCTCACCCCGG